TGGGAATGCTAAGGTAATGGGAGCCAATGGGGGCCTTGTGGGGCTGGGGAATGTACTGCTGGTTGAAGGTTTGTCCGCTAACCTCCTCTCTGTGCGCCGGCTGCAGAAAAGCAAGGCCAAAGTGACCTTCGGCCCAACCAGCTGCCGTGCAAAGCTTGGGAAATTGCTGCTGTGGGATTTGGAGGAGAAGAGCAGCTGCATCAAGGACCTATGGCAGCTGCCCATCATCCCTTGGAATGGGAAACCACCAGCAACGGCAGCGGCAGCAGCAACGGCTAAAACAACTGCGGGAGGAGAGGAGACTGCACCAACCGATGGGGCCCTAGATGCAGTCAAGAAGGTGCAGCAGTCACAGCAGCCACATGGTGAGGTGCTTGCTGGTGTGGATGCAACCGCTGCATGGGCAAAGGCTTCATCTGGGAATGGTGATGCCGATTGGGAGACGTGGCACGAGAGGTTGTGTCACATCAACATTCCTATGCTGCAGAAGTTAGTGAAGGATGGGAGCTTGAAGGGGTTGGAGGTGAAGGGGGCAGCAAAGGAGATTGGGAGCTGCCCTACATGCCTTGAGACCAAGTTCACAAAGTTTCCCTTCAGCAGCGGCACGGGACCAGCTAAGGCCCCGCTCGCACTTGTGCACATGGATGTGGTGGGCCCTACGAGGGCCCTTTCTCTCTAGGGCAGCCGCTACTTCTTAACCATTGTGGACGACCACACGCGTGCCGTGTGGGTGTACCCTCTCAAGACTAAGGGGGAAGTGGCAGCGGCTGTTCTTAAGGAGTGGATGCCGAGAGCTCAAAGGGAGAGCGGACACAAGGTGAAGGTGATCCGCACCGACAATGGGGGAGAGTTCATTGGTGCTGATTTTGAGTCGGTGCTGAAGAAGAAGGGGATCCAGCATCAGCTCACAGTGCCCTACAACCCTCAGCAGAACGGCGTGGCTGAGCGGTTCAACCGGACCCTGCAAGAAGGTGCTTGCACTCTCCTTGGGCGTGCAGGGCTGCCGGATCCGTTTTGGGTGACTGCACTGCGGCAGGTCGCCCTTGTGAAGAACAGGGTGTTGGCGACTGTGGGGGACAAGCAGTGGGTCCCCTACACCAAGTGGTATGGGAGTGCACCAGCAGTCAACATGCTGAGAGCCTACGGCTGCATGGTGGTGTTTCATGTGCCTAAGGAGAAGAGGGGAAAGTTGGAGGCTAGTGGGAGATGGGGAGTACACTTGGGGCTTGCTAAGGATCATAAGGGCTGGTTGATATGGGACTTGACCAGCCAGCAGCTGACTGTGTCAAGGGATGTGAAGTTCCTTGAGTCCTTGTACTACAAGGAGTGGAAGCAGCAGCAGCAGAAGCTTCCTACTACACCGCTGATCATTGAGGCCGATGAGGTGCAGCGGCCTTCGAGGCAAGTGCAGGTCACTGTCTCAGAGGAGGAGATTTCTGGGGTGACTGAGGATGGGGGAGAACCTGAGGTGGAGGAGCAGCAGCAGCAGCAAGATGCTCCACAAGGTGCCGCACGTCCGGTTGACCGTCCTAGGAGGGATGTGCGCCCTCCTAACCGGCTGACCTATCCGAGCTTTGGCAAGCCAAAGGTGGTACGGGCTGGGAGTGTGGCTGAGCAGTGTGATGAGGAAGAGATTGCACACTGCTACTGGGCAGCCGTCCCTGAGCCCAAGACGCTAGCTGAGGCCTTGAGTGGGCCCGATGCTGAGAAGTGGAAGCAGAGTGTGAAGGAGGAGTATGACTCTCTGCTGGAGAATGAAACGTGGGAGCTGTGTGAGCTGCCTCCTGGGAAGAAGGCCATTTCTTCCAAGCTGATCTTCAGGCACAAGTATGGACCTGATGAGGAGCTGACCCGCTACAAGTCAAGGCTTGTGGCAAAGGGGTTTCAGCAGACAAAGGGGAAGGATTTTGACGAGATCTTTGCTCCTGTGGGGAAAGGGACTACACTAAGGGTGATGTTGGGAATGGCTGCAAACCGTGGATGGAGGATCAAGCAGATGGACATCACAACTGCTTTCCTCAATGGGATCATCCTAGAGGAGCTGTACATGCTGCAGCCTGAGGGGTTGGATGATGGGAGCGGCAGGGTGTGCAGGCTCAAGAAGGCCATCTATGGCCTTAAGCAGGCTCCTCGCGCATGGTACCACAAGTTGGAGGAGACACTGCTGGCTGGGGGTTTCAAGAAGAGTGAGTGTGATCACAGCTTGTTCCTGCTGCAAGAGAAGGAGCAGTTTCTCATGCTCCTGGTGTATGTGGACGACATCCTGCTCTTCTCTAAGTCGTCTGCAATGATTGAGCGTGTGGAGGAGATGCTGGAGATGCAGTTTAAGTGCTCCAAGATGGGAGATGTGAAGTACTATTTGGGCATGCATGTGGAGAGGGACCTTGACAAGGGAGTGTTGAGGTTGCACCAGAGAAAGTATTGTGAGGGGCTGGCTGAGAAGTATGGGCTGCAAGATGGAGGAAAGCCAGCCACCCCACTGCCTTCGGGGTTCACTGTGGAGCCCTGTGCTGAAGAGGAGGTGGTGGGTGAGAGTGACAGGAAGCTGTTTCATTCCATGGTGGGGGCACTCAATTATGCGGCTAACCACACGCGGCCTGACATTGCCTTTGCTACATCCAGGCTTGCAAGTGTGGTTTCACGCCCCAGTCATGAGCAGCTGGAAGCGGCCAAGAGGTTGGTCCGCTATGTGAGCGCTACGGCATTAGTGGGCTTGGAGTACAGTGCTGTGCGACAGAGGCTGCAGAGGGGTGCAGCTGATTTGGGCAAGGGGGAGATGCTCCTGACCTGCTACACCGACGCTAGCTTCAACTCTGTGAAGGCGGATGGCACCAGCATTGGAGGCTATGTGTGCCTGTTTGGAGGTGGTGCAGTGAGCTGGCGCAGCAAGAAGCAGAACGAGGTGGGGCAGTCCTCGTGTGAGACAGAGTACATGGCTCTGCATCATGGGGCAAAGGAGGTGGTGTGGCTGAGGCGTTTGTTGGAGGAGATCGGAGTGTGCCAAAAGGAGCCAACTGTGATTTTCTGTGACAACGAGTCGGCTGTGAAGCTTGCTAAGAACGCTTGCCTTCATGGGCTGACGAAGCACATCAGGCCTAAGTGGCATTGGGTGAGGAGGCTCCTGGACAAGGAGGTGCGGCTGGAGATTGTGAAGACCCATCAGCAGGCGGCTGACATTCTCACCAAGCGCCTGGCTGAATCTGAGCATTGGAAGGGCATGAAGCTTGCTGGGATGAGTGTGCATTGAGGGTGCATGCTTGAGCTATGGCATATGGGATGATGGTAGGCAGCCAGAGGGGGAGTTTGTTATGTGATGCTATCATTTGCATTCACGTCTGTCTGCCTCCCATCATATGTTCGTGTGTTGCATGCGTGGTGTGAGCGTGTGCAAGAATATGTGTTTGGTGTTGTTTGGATTTTCTGAGTGTGTGTGTGAATGTTATTTGGCTTGAGCAGATATCTGAAGTGACTCCTCTGCTCAAGAGCTTTCCGACGAACCAAGTATCGCTTCAATCGGAGCACGAACAAGAAAGTTACGAACGTTGGAAGTTCGTATGCTTTTGATATTTGGTTGTGGTGACTATGGGAAGTTGTGGTGTTGACTCCATAAGGAGTACAGACTCTTGGGGGTTGGGAAATTCGTCAACATCACTGTAGATTCTGCCAAGTGGTTGGGAGGTGCCAAACCAGGTTGGCAAGTGTGGCCAAGTTGGGTGAGGTGGATGGCATGAGTTGGGAAAGTGACAAATGTCAAAGTTGGGGTGCCTATAGAGAGGGGAATTGTGTGGTATGGGGTGTCCTTGGTTGGGGACTCCCTTGGGACCTTCCCTCTCGTCCTCCTCATCCCCTCCTACCTGGTTCTATTGCTACTCTAACTTTCTTGTGTGAACTTGTGAGATCATTGTGATTGAGTTACGTTTTCTATGGCAGCATACCCCCTAGTGCGCCGAAGTTCATAACTCGAGTTATACTTCATATTTTGATACTATTCAAATTGGGAAAGATAGCCACGGTCAAGGGCTACAACATACTCGAGTTTGAGAGAATTCTAATCGTGCGTTAATCGTCGACGACGTTTCTTGTGACGACGACTTTTCTGTCCAGAATTGTAGTTGACGATTTTGAGATATTTCAGCCCCTAATCTTCATAGACTCCGTCCTTAATTTCTAACAGCAGCAGCACCAGCAGCAGTTGCAGCGGCACCATCACCAGCAACAGCAGCAGCAGCAACAACACCAGCAGCAGCTGGGACCCTCGCTCCCTGACTAGCCTCAGCAGGTTCAGCAGCAGTTACAGCAGCACCAGCAGGACCACCAGCAGCAGTTGCAGCAGTACCGTCACCAGCAGCAGCAGCTGCAGCAGCAACACCAGCAGCAACTGGGACCCTCGCTCCCTGACTAGCCTCAGCAGCTTCACCAGCGATCTTATCAGTGATGCTTCCTGCCAGCCTGCCTATGCCACCTGCAGCAGCACCAACGCCAGCAAAGGTCTCAGCAACACGGGTCCCAACAGTGGTGGTGGCAGTGGCAGAGAAGGGCTTTAAGTCAGGGTCCCAAGACACGTGCTTGCGAATTCTTTGAGAGGCCATGGAGGTGACGATTGGTCTGATGGAGGAGTGGCGAGCAGAGAGGGATACGGAGGTGGTGTGTGCGTGGGGAGGAGTGAGAGCACCATCAGTAACCGCCATGGCTTCACCAACCACCCGACCAGGAGACTTCGGGCTGTGAAGCCAGTCGTTGTTCTTTGCCATAGAAGAGAAGTCGTAGCTTTGGCTGTACCTATGCCTGCCCGCCTGCTTCCTTGCAACACTGCCTTTCACTCCTCCTCCGCCTCCTCCTCCTCCTTCTGATCCTGCTTCTGCTCCTGCTCCTCCAACTCCGCCTCCTGTCAAAACAGAAGACTTATACACACCGTTCCTAGTGACTCCCCTCACAATCCCTGGAGGGGAGGAGGCAGGCCCATGCTTGTACAGGGCGTTCGAGTTGACTTTTGAGTCGACTCAAAAGAGGAGGCAGGCCCATGCTTGTACAGGGCGTTCGAGTTGGGAGTTGGCGAGAAAGTGAAGGACTGAGGGGGAAGGGGAGGAGCGGATCGAGGAGCGGGGGAGATACGAGGGGATCGCGGTGGGATAGTGAGAGGAGGGGGGCGAGATGCGGAAGTGAGACAGCGGGGTTGAGATGAGGAAGTGAGAGGAGGGGACCGAGATGGGGGACTGATAGGAAGGGCTGACGAGGGACTAAGAAGAGGGGATCGAGATGAGGACGTGAGACGGGGGGGTTGAGGTGGGGGAGTGAGACGGGGGGGTTGAGGTGGGGGAGTGAGACGGGGGGATCGAGGTGGAAGAGTTGAAACCAGCATACGACCAGCAGACTCGGGGCTGTGAAGGCACTCCTTGGAAAGCATCATAGACGAGAAATCGTAGCTTTGGCTGTGCCTATGCTTGCTCGCCTCTTTCCTTGCGGCACCAGATTTCACTCCTCCCCCCCCCCCCCCTCCTCCTCCTCCTCCTCCTCCTCCTCCTCCTCCTCCTCCTCCTCCTCCTCCTCCTCCTCCTCCTCCTCCTCCTCCTCCTCCTCCGCCTCTTCCTGTCACACCAACAGGCTTGAACACGCCGTTCCAAGTGGCTCCCCTCACAACGCCTGGAGGCGAGGAGGCGGCTGTATGGTCATACAGGGCACTCGAGCTAGGGCTTGGCGAGAAAGTGAAGGACTGAGGGGGAAGAAGAGGAGGGGATTGGCTGAGTGATGAGACAGAAGGAGGTATGTCCGCTGCGCCTCCTCCTGCTCCTCTTCCTCCCCTCCCCTCTTCCATGAATGTAACACCAGAAAGAATCTTTCGGGAAACACCCAAAGGAATTGTGCTCATGCTTCTGCGGCTGGTTGCTGCAACAGTGCCTGCTACAGACCCTGTAACAGTGCCTGCTACAGCATTCAGGCTGGCAACGACAGCAGCACTGGTAACCGCCGCTGCTCCAGTAATCTGAAGCTTTGCCGCTTCTGCCGCTGCTGTTACACCCTTGGTAGCAGCACCAACCACCGCCCGACCAGCAGTCTCAGGGCTCTGAAGCCAGTCTCCGTTCTTCATCATAAAAGAGAAGTCGTAGCTTTGGCTGTACCTATGCTTGCCCGCCTCTTTCTTTGCAACACCTCCTTTTATCCCTCCCCCTCCTCCTCCCCCTTCCCCTCCTTTCCCCCTCCCTCCCGCTCCCAGCTGGCTGGGAGACACCATTCCCGGAAGCGACTTTTGAGTTTTGAGTCGACTTTTGAGTTTTGAGTCGACTTTTGAGTTTTGAGTCGACTCAAAACTCCCTCCTGCTCCCAGCTGGCAGGGAGACACCATTCACGGAAGCCCATAGCTCTCGGGAGGAGCAATCAGCCTCCACGCGCCAGCGATACCGTCAAAATCCGTATCGGATCTCGTACGGCGGCGGATTTGATTCGCTGGCTGATGGGCAGAGCACGCTGGGGACTTTAAAGGCAATGATGACGCCAAGGCAAGCGAGGAAGCTCGAGCAGAGGAGGCAGCGGAGGCAGAGGAGGCAGAGGAGGCAGCTCCAGCAGAGGAGGCAGAGGAGGAAGTTGATGGAAAATTGATGGAGGGGAAGGAGAGGATGCGAAGGACCAAGATGTAACGGGCAGAGCATCAGATGACATGCACGAAAGCACTGGGCTGCGCGATTGCTCCTGCTGCCGCTCCTGCTGCCGCTCCTGCTGCCACTCCTGCTGCCGCTCCTGCTGCCACTCCTGCTGCTGCTCCTGCTGTCGCAGCTGTTTCTCGGGCAGGTGGGAGCTGCCCTGCTGTTCCCCCAGGCGTTTGAGAACAGGCTTGCGCAGAGAGGCGCAGATGATGTGCCACGTGCTGTGAGCATACAGCACCGTTTGCCCCGCCTCCCTCGCTTGCTCTGCTGCTTGCTCCGCTTCTTCTGCCTCCCTCAACTCATCCCATTCCTCCTCCTCCACCCCTTCCTCCGCCCCCTTGCTTCCTCGCTTCCCGCGTTTAATTGTCGAGTTTTTGTCTTCAAATCGTGAGATGCCCCTGTGGTGGGTCTTGGTGTCTGGAAGTCCGAGCAGCCTTCCCCGCGCCTCGCTTTCCTCTGCTTCCGCAGGCTGGGGGGAGGGGAAGTTGGCGACGCAGCGTGCGGGGTCGGGACTAGGCGAGCGACCTGCGGGGACGAGGATCAGCGGGAGAGAGTGCGAGGGAGAATAGGGGGGGAGAGAGGGGAGGGCGTGGGAGGGGAGGCGGGGTAAGGCCGTACTGTTTTGCTATTAGCTATGAGCTTAAGAAGTTCAAGTTTCACGTGGGTTTGGTCACTGAAGGGAAGGGAAGCGAACATGGGCGAGATGGCGAAAGGTGGGGAAGAAGGGTAACAGCGCATGCTAGAAGTGAGCAAGGACTGAGAAATAAAGTGAGTATGGAAGGAAGGGAGGAAGAGTGCACAACACATGCTAGAAGTGAGCAAGGACTGAGAAATGAAGGGAAGCGAACATGAACGAGGCGGCGAAAGGAAGGGAGGAAGAGTGCACACCTGGTCCCATGATTTCTCCAAAGGAGTCAGATGTTTTCGCCCAGGCGCGCACTCGATCCAATAATTTACGCAGCATGAAAAGTTTCACCTGCCCGCTCGCCACTAGCTTGTCGTCCGCTGCGATGGTTACAATCCTCCACGAAATCGGCATGCTGTTTCGCCCAGACCCCAGCAGTCGCAGGGGCATCGCCAGCAGAGGGAAAACGTCGTACGCGTCGCCAGGGTCGCGCGCCTGCGACCCAATCTCCAGCGTCTCCAGCGGCGCGTTGTCGCACGCCGTTAAGAGCGAATCGCGGAGCTCCTTAACCGGCGACCCGGGGTCGTTTTTGCAGCGGTCCGAACCGCCAGAATCAGAATCACCATCATTCGCATCCCAGCGGGAGAACATCAACATGCATCGCGACGCGAGCACGCACGTCTGCGGCAGGATGCCCAGATTCCACGGCGCTAGCGGCGACGTCAACGGCGGCTGGGATGACGTATCCGACTCCGAATCAGACTCAGAATGGTTGGTCAGACTCCGCACCTTAGCACTGGAAAGGCTGCCGTCTAGGGTCAATACGACCACCTTCCGCTTCTCCCACAGCGACTCCGAGTCGACTCGAAGGGGATCTGCGTTCTTCCCGCGGCGCCGTCTTGCCAACCCGCGATCGGCGGACAGGTATTTGGAGGCGCGGCAGACGAAGGTGAAGGGGGAGGTCAGGGAGAAGGGGTCCCGGGGGACGGGAGGAACGGTCTGGCGCGGGGAGGAGGCCGCGCTGGCAGGAGAAGGCGGAGGCGGAAAGAGGAGAATGTCGTGCCAAATGGAGGACACGTGGCCGGCGTTGAGTAGCGGGAGAAGGCTGGTGGGCGAGCCGACGGTCCGGGTCTCCGGCGCCGCCGCATTTTGCGGCATGTTTGGGATGGTACCATGTACCTATCAGTTGGTGAAATCTCTCAAAATCTGAACTCGGAATGTGGGATACTCGATATGTGGAAAGTCAGTCAAAGCTGCGACCCTCTGGCAAGACTGAGAAGGTCATTGTCTCAGGCGACTGAGTACGATGCGAGAATGATGCAGGGATAATCGTCGCTGATAATCGTCACTGATAATCGTCACTGATAATCGTCGCTGATAATCGTCACTGATAATCGCCACTGATAATCGTCACTGATAATCGTCACTGATAATCGTCGCTGATAATCGTCGCCTGGCAGGCATCTGCTACTTGGAAGTTGGGGCCGAGCATTGATCATGACATGACGCCACTGTCTGCCAAGCCGCCTGCTGTGAGAATGAGAAATAAAGTGGTTTTCGATGTAAGACGAATGTTGGAGTTGAAGACGAATAACGCGGCGAGAAGAGGAATCGCCCCACCGAACCGAAACCTGCGTCGCCGGGATTTCCCTCCTGTAGGGGACTCGCGCCGCAAAGCAAGGCACCCCCACTGGGATGGAATCCCAGCCTGACGAGCCATGATGTCGAAATCAGCCATGCGCGAACCCTCCATCATGGAGTATCGGCACACTGATCGGGCGATGGGGAGTGGGTAGCGTGGCGTAAGACAGGCGATTGTGCGACTACGCGACGCGTGCGACGAATGTCGTCGTGAGGGTGCTAGCGTGAGGTAGTAGTCCTAAAGGCGTCGTAAATGTTATTCCGACCCAAATTCGTACAATACTACACTACTTCCTGGGGGCGTGCCGCGTGCGCTGTGAGATCGCCAAGACGAGAGTGCTGCCCAACAAGGCGATAGTGGTCTCTAGAAGGGACCAGTTGTGAGCCTCTTGGGAACTCCGCCGCACGTATCAATGGGGTATGGCATGGCAGGCTCGGTGTTGCCTTGCCTTCACTCTCCTCGGGCAGGCTCAATTCCAACTTCCAAACGAAGATGGTCCCACCGAAGGACCAATCGTGAGCAAGAACCCATTTGCCCGCCCCAGTGAAGTAGCGCTGGAGAGCGCGAGCTCGACAAGGTTGGCGCGCTTGGCCGCACAGGAGGGACGCGCGCGTACACGGCTGGTTGGTTTGCACTGTGCCTCTGGTCAGCACTGTGCCTCTGGTCAGCACTGTGCCTCTGGTCAGCACTGTGCCTCTGGTCAGCACTGTGCCTCTGGTCAGCACTGTGCCTCTGGTCAGCACTGTGCCTCTGGTCAGCATTGTGCCTCTGGTCAGCACTGCGGCTCTTCACAGGAAGCTTAGAAGCAGTAAGATGCGAGGAGGACGGCCGGGAAGCGGTTCTCATAGTCATGGCTCGGGTTGGGATTTGGAGGGAACGGGGAGACATTCGAGGCGATTCCGAAGAAGTCGCCTCGTGCGAACAAGGCCAGGAAGCTGCTCGCATGGTCGTGGCTCGGGTTGGGAGTTGGAAGGACCGGGATGACAGTGACAATGCAGCGGCAGCTACAGCCGCGCCAGCAGCTGTTGCAGCGACACCGGGAATAGTTGCAGTGGCAGCGGCGGCACCCGCTGCAGCGGCACCCGCTGCTGCAGCACCAGCAGCAGTGGCAGCAGCAGCACCAGAAACGCCCGCAGCAGCAGCAACACCTGTTGGCATCGTTGTTTCCTGACTAGCCTCAGCAGTTTCACCAGCAATTTTGTCAAAAATACCTCCCAGGGGTTCATTCTCCCCCGGCGTCGCACTGGCAGTGCCGGGCAAAGGCTTTGAACCTACGCCTTTCTGAGCGCTTCAAAAGGCAAAGGCTTTGAGTCAACGTTCCAAGACACCCGCTTGCGGGTTGCTTGAAAGGCCGTGGTGGCGGCAGTAGGTGGTTTGGTGCTCAGATGATGTGCGGAGGGGGATAGGGCCCCGGTGGGAGAGTGAGAGGGAGTGAGAAAAGCGGATTGTGGTGCTGCCGCTGCCCTGTTGCTACCTGCATTTCCGCTTGCGTTTCCGTTTCCGTTTCTATTGCCACCTGCTGCAGTCCCTGAAACCCTAGCAGCAGCAGTAGCAGCAGCAGCGACCAGAAACTGATTAGGAGACTCAGGGCTGTGCAACCACTCCTTGTTCTTTGCTGTCATCGAAGCAAAGTCCATGCTCTGGCTGTGCCTGTGTCTGCTTGCTGGTTTCCTCGCAACACCGCATTTCACCCCTCCGCCTCCTCCGCCTCCTCCACCTGCCACGCCAGAAGAGACCACCCTCACAACCCCCGGAGGTGGGGAGGCGGTTGGATGAAGATTGCAAGGAGCTGAAGAGAGTGTGGAGTGAGAGGGAGGGAGAGGAGAGGGTTGAGTTGGGGAAGAGAGAGGAGGGGATCGAGATGGGGAGGTGAAGGGAGGGGATCAAGATGGGGAGGTGAAGGGAGGGGATCGAGATGGGAGCTTTGATGTAGGAGATCGAGGGGGAAGAGAGGAAGAAGGAGACTTAGGTGGGGTAGTGAGAGAGGGAGAGTGAGGTGGAAGGGTGAAAGAGGGGGATCGAGGTGGGGTAGCAGTGAGAAAGGAGGTTTGGCGAGGGAGAGTAAGAGAAGGAGGTCTGGATGAGCGTGTGAGAGGATTGGAACGGGTGCGTGATGAGAGAGACGGAGGTGAATCCTCTGCCCCTCCTCCTCCTCCTCCTTTTCCTCCTTCTCCTCCTCCTCCTCCCTTTCCTCTGCTCCCTCCTTCCACCCTTGAAACATCAGGATTGCGTTTTCCGGACCCTGTTTCTGCCACTGCTGCTGTTGCCGCCACTGCTGCTGCTGCTGCTGCTGCTGCTGCTGCTGCTGCTGTTTCACCCTTTGAAACACCAGCCAGCACCTGACTGTCATACTCAGGGCTGTGAAGCCAGTCCCTTTTCTTGGTCATAGAAGCAAAGTCCACGCTTTGGCTGTGCCTGTGCTTCCTCCCCGGTTTCCTTGCAACACCACCTTTCACTCCTCCCCCTCCTCCTTCCCCCCCCCCCTCCCCTTCCTTCCCCTCCTCCTCCTCCTCCTCCTCCTCCTCCTCCTCCTCCTCCTCCTTCCCTCCCTCCTCCTGCCCCACCAGAAGACCTCACCATACCATTCAAAGAGACTCCTCTCGCAGCGCCTTGGGGGGAGGAAGCAGCTGGAGGGGAGGAAGAAGCTGCTTAGGGGGAGGAGCCAGCTGCATGGTCATACAGGGCACCAGAGGTGGGAGAGAAAGTGAAGGAATTAGAGGGAGGGAAAAGAGCAGATCGAGATGCGGAAGTGATCGGAGGGGATCGGGTGAGCGATGCGGCATGAGGTAATATATCCTCTGCTCCTCCTCTGCCGTATCCTCCTACTCCGCCTCCTCTTTCTCCTCCATGGGTGAGCGATGAAGCACGAGGAAGTCTATCCTTTGCTCCTCCTCTGCCGCTTCCTCTTCCTCCACTCCCCCGTTCCGCACTTGTACCATTAAAAAGAGGTTTCCTGGAAATGCCTAAAGACATTGCGCGCATGCTTCTGCGACCGGTTACAGTTTCTACTACAGTCGCTGCCACAGTCCCCGCTACAGTCCCCGCGACAGTCCCTGCTACAGTCTCTGCTACAGTCCCTGCTACAGCACTGAGACTTGCAACAACCTGCTGCTTTGCCGCTTCTGCTATAGTCCCTGCTACAGTCCCGGCTACTGTCCCCGCTACAGTCCCGGCTACTGTCCCCGCTACAGTCCCGGCTACAGCAGTCAGCCTAGCAACTACTTGCTGCTTTGCTGCTTCTGCCACGGCTGCTGCTCCCTCAGCAGCAGCAGCCACCACCTGACCAGCAGACTCAGGGTGATGTAGCCAGTCTGTGTGCTTCATAATGGCAGCAAAGTCGTGGCTGTGTAGCCAATCTTTGTTGGGAGAGGTGGGAGAGGTGGCGAAGGACCAAGAGGAGACCGGCAGAGCATCGGCTGACGAGCATAAAGGAACCGGGTTGCTCGATAGCTTATCGTGCCACCCCTGCTGCCGCTGCTTCTGTCGCTGCTCATGCCGCTCAGGCTGCTATCGCTGTATCTCGGACTGGTGGCGGTGCCGAGGGCTGTATCCTTTCTTCCCGAGGGCGAGGGCTTGGGCTTGGGCTTGACCCGTGCGCTTGAGCACGGGGCGGCGCAGCGTGGGGCAGAGGATGCGCCACGTGCTGTGCGCATGCAGCACCGTCTGCTCCGCTTCCTTTGCTCGCTCTGCTGCTTTCTCCGCCTCCTCCGCCTCTCTTGCCTCATCCCATTCCTCCTCCTCATCCTCTGCGGGTTCCTTGTCTCCCAATCTCGCACGTCCGATCGTCGAGCTTTTGTCTTCGGCTCGCGAGATTCTGCCCCATTCCTCCGCCTCGTGGTTTTTCCTGGAGGCTTTAAGTCCGGATGGCGTTTCTCGCGCCGCTCTTTCCGCTGCTTCCGCGGGCGAGGGGGACGGGGAGGCGCCGAAGCAGGGATTGGGTGCGCGACCTGCGGGGATGAGGGGAGAGCAGGGAGAGAGTGGGAGAGTGGGAGAGTGGGAAGAAGGAGGGATAGAGGAGGAGGGGGTTGGGGGCGGGAAAGGGCCTTAGAGCGTTTGGAGAGGGCCTTAGCTCGAAAAACAAATGTGGGTTGGAAAGCCCATTCAAGGGGAGAGCGACGATACATAATGAGATTGGTTTCAAGGTGTGCATGGAGAAAGGTGGGGAGGAAGGATACGATATGCTAGGAGTGAGGAAGGATCGAAGGAGGGAAGGAAGGGAGGCAAGGAAGAAAGGAAAAAAGTAAGGAAGAAGAGGAGGAAGGAAGTGGGAAGGAAGGACAATTTGCCTGCGAGGCAATGTAACACGCTGGGGAGTTGAGGCAGAGGGGGAGTCGAAGGAGGGGGAGAGGAAGGGGAGGGAAACGGCATACGAAAAGTTCTAAGGCAAACCTGGTCGGCCTGGAAACCCGATTTCGCCCAAGATTCGCATACCTGGTCCCACGATCTCTCCGAATGACTCCGACGTTTTCGCCCAGTCTGTCAAACATTATATATGTTATTGCTGTGTAGGCTACAGTGGGTTAGCCTTTAGGGGGTACAATACTTTAGGGTTTCATACTTGTACTCCCAAACTTTCCTAGTTCCACCACTTCTTGTTTCTAACATGGTATTAAGAGCTTAGGTTCTAGACCTAGGACCACTTACCTAAGGGCCCACCGCTAGAAGCGCCCTCGAGCGCCGTATCGACTTAGGGCCCTCGAGCGCCTCTCTCCTAGTGCGCCCTCGTGCGCCTCTCCTTCTCCTGCTGCCCGTGCGCAGCTCGCTAGTGCCGCGCGCGGCCCTTTTTTTTTAGCGCGCGTAGCCCGCTAGCAGCCCGCGCGCGGCCTTTTCTGCGCGCGCGCCGTGCCGCGTAGCCTAGTCCGAGCCGCGCCGCGCCGCCCTGCCCGGGTCGCGCCGCCCGAATCGCGCCGCCCTGACCGAGCCGCGCCGCCCCACCTGCAGCAACCACTGTTCCTGTTCCTGCTACTGCTACTTCTGCTACTGCTACTGCTACTGCTACTACTGCTATTGCTACTGCTGCTACTGCTACTGCTACTGCCACTATGGCCAGTCCCACTGTTCTCACTTTTGACACTGAGGGCCGACCGATTAAGTTTGATATCTGGCTAGATGACCTGCACCTGTTCCTCCAGATCACTGCTAAGGACGACGTTTCCCTATATGACCACACGTCCGGAACTGCTCCCGCACCTGCTGCTACTGCTGACAGTACTGCTCGCTCACAGTGGCAGACTCGTTACGCCCATGCTCGCCTAGCCGTTCGCAGTCACCTGCCGTTAGATGAGCGCGAGCACTTCGGCCAGCACAAGACCGCTAAGGAGCTGTATGATGCTGTAGTTACACGCTACTCCTCCCCTGCTACTGCTGCGATAGGCCGTCTCTCGCTGCCCTATCTCTTCCCGGATCTGTCTGCCTTTGCCACTGTAGCTGACCTCATCACTCACCTCCGTACTAGTGACCTCCGCTACCGTGCCGCACTCCCCCCCGATTTCCTAGCCAAGAACCCTCCCCCGATGTACCTCACCCTCTACCACCTGGTCACTCGCCTCCCTGACTCTCTTCGCGCTGCCAGGGACCACTTTCTCGCTCTCTCCCCCACAGACCTCACTGTCGACCTACTCGAGAAGGAACTCCTAGCAGCTGAGAAGAGCATTGTAGCTGTAGGTGCCTCTCGTGGCGACCCTCGCACTCCCTTCTTTGAGGGATGCTCCCCCTCCCCCCTTCTCCCCTCCATTGCATCTGCTGCTGCTGTCGACTACCTCGGTGCTGAGGGGGTCGGAGCTACGTTCGCTCCCAGTGGGAGGCGCAAGGGCGGCAGGGGCAAGGGGGGCCGGGGTGGAGGAGGTGGCGGCGGGGGAGGTGGTGGTGGAGGGGGTGGAGGGGGCGGCGGCGGTGGCGGCGGCAGTGGTGGGAGTGGTGCTGGTGGTGGGGGGGGCAGTGGTGGAGCCGGGGGTGGTGGAGGCGGCGGTGGTGGAGGTGGCGGGGGTGGTGGTGGCGGTGGTGGCGGCGGTGGAGCTGGTGGAGGGCGCGGTGGAGCGGTGCAGCGTGGCGGGTTCGGCGGCGGCCAGAGGCAGCAGCAGCAGCGTCCCAGCGAGACCCAGTCGCCCCAGCAGCTCCGTGAGTGGTACTTTCAGCGTGGGGGGTCTGGGGGTGGAGGTACCTGCCCGTACGTCATCCGCACAGGTGACCGCACTGGCCAGACTTGTGGGAGGTTTCACACGGCGCAGCGCTGTTTCTTTCGCCTCGACGACGCCTGGCGCGAGCAGTTTCTTGACGCCTCTGAGCTGCCCCGCTGGGCTGATCTGCTTAAGAAGGGGATTGATATCTTTGCTCTTGATTATGATGCTATCCTTGCTGCTATGTATGCATTGACTATTAGTGTTGAGGGTGACTGTTACCTGCGTGTACCGCCCGACCCGGGTATTGGGACCAGTGAGGCTGCATCTCTAGGTGCTCGTGCGTCTACTACTCTAGGTCCTGGTGAGGCTGCTGCCCTAGGTGCTAGTGCGTCTGCGTCTGCTGGTACCGCGTCCACTGAGGCACTGCACACCTTCACACTGGACTCAGGTGCTTCCCGCTGTTTCTTTCGCGACCGCACTGCCCTAGATCAACTTCCTAGACCGGTTGCTGTCTCCCTGGCTGACCCCTCAGGGGGTCCGGTCCTTGCGACCTCCACCACTGCCCTCCCTTGTCCTGCTGTCCCGTCTGGCACGCTGTCGGGCCTTTACCTCCCCTCGTTCTCTACGAACTTGGTGGCGGGTTCTGCGCTCCAGGACGCGGGTGTTCACCAGTTCACCCCTGCCTACGAGCGTGTGACGCACTGCACGTGTGCCCAGATGGGTCGTCACCTGGCTACCTTCACTCGGCAGCCGGGGTCGGACTTGTACACACTGACCATTGAGTCCCCTCAGGTAGCTGCGTCTGCGTCTGCGTCAGGTCAGCTGTCTGCCCCCTGCTCGTGTCGCTCCCTGTTGCACAGGACTGTCCTCTGGCATCACCGCCTTGGTCACCCGTCCGTGCAGCGCCTTCGCAGCATGCACTCCCGGTACCTTGTCTCTGGTCTTCCCAGGGTTCTCCCCCCCCTCCCACCCTCGCCTGCTCCTCCCTGTCTTCCCGGTGTCGAGGGGCGGCAGCGCGCCGCTCCTCACTCCTCCTCGTTCCCTCCCACAGAGGCCCCCCTGCAGACTCTCCACCTGGACGTGTGGGGCCCCGCCCGCGTCCGGGGACAGGGCCACGAGCGGTACTTTCTGCTGGTCGTCGACGACTACACGCGCTACACCACGGTCTTCCCCTTGCGTACCAAGGGTGAGGTCCCCGATGTTTTGATCCCTTGGATCCGCGCTGCTCGTCTCCAGCTCCGCAAGCGGTTCCAGTCGGACTTTCCTGTCCTGCGTCTGCACTCTGACCGAGGTGGTGAGTTTTCCTCTGACCTCTTGGCAGCCTACTGTGCGGAGCACGACATCCGCCAGACGTTCACTCTTCCGGCCTCTCCGCAGCAGAATGGGGTTGCTGAGCGCCGCATTGGTCTAGTCATGGAGGTCGCTCGTACCTCCATGATCCATGCGGCTGCCACCCATTTCCTGTGGCCGTTTGCAGTGCAGTACGCCGCGCATCAGCTCAACCTCTGGCCCCGTGTCTCCGTTTCGGAGACCTCGCCCACACTGCGTTGGACGGGGGAGGTTGGCGATGCGTCGGTGTTCCGAGTCTAGGGATGTCGAGCCTTTGTCCGCAATACGTCCGCGGACAAGCTCTCCTCCCGTGCCGTTCCCTGTGTCTTCCTTGGCTTTGTCCCTGACGCGCCTGGCTGGCAGTTTTACCACCCCACCTCGCGTCGTGTCTTCCCCTCTCAGGACGTCACCTTTGACGAGTCGGTACCCTTTTACCGTCTCTTCCCCTACCGCACTGCCCCGCTCCCTCCCCCGCCGCTCTTCCTCACCCCAGGTGTCCCGTCGGTAGACCCCCTCCCTCCCCAGGGTGCTGCTCCCTCAGGTGTTTCCCAGGTAGACCCGGTCGAGCCTGTCGAGGTAGCTGTTGACTCTGGTCCTGCGCGAGGTGCTACGGGTGCTGAGCCTGGGGGTGCGGAGACTGGGGGTGCTGAGACTGGAGGTGCGGAGACTGCGGGAGCTGAGCCTGGGGGTACTGAGACTGGGGGTGCTGAGCCTGGGGGTGCTGCGACTGGGGGTGCTGAGCCTCGAGGAGCTGAGACTGGGGGCTCTGAGAGTGACCGTACTGCGCCTGGTGGCGCTCCCTCTTCACAGCAGCTGCGTGAGTGGTACTCCCAGAGTTACAGCCTCCGTTGTGGGGCTGCTGGAGCTGGGGGGTCT